GGGGGGGGGCATGCCGGCGAGGGAGAGCTCCATCCAGCTGACCTGGCCAAACTTTTTTTAGGGGGGTGGTGGTGTCTTCTTCCTCCTCCTGCTCCTGCTCCTGCTCCTGGTCCTTTGTCTCCCTTCTGGGCTGGGGCCGCTCAAGAGCCCCTTCTCCGGCCCTTCAGATAATGAGCTTCGTCCAAGCTTCGCCTTCAAGATCTGGGGAGCCCTAATTGCCCCAGGAGGAGGATTTCGGGGGAAGAGAGAGAGAAGAAGCCTTTCTTTTCAAGGGCCCCGACAAATGCTGCTCTTGAAAGGGGGGAAAGAGTTGCCGGGATGCTGGAGAAGGAGAGGGGGGCCCTGGCTGCTTCTTGGCTTGGAAGGAGGGGGATTAGCCAGGGCCTCTGGCTCTCCTTGGATCGATCATCAGCGGGGGGCGAGCATCCCAGCACTACTGTACAAATGGATCAGTGCCTTTTGGGTCATCCCTTATGTTTTGCTTTATTTCCTGGGTAAAGAGCAAGAAAACTTTGCCCACAAGGAAGAAGCCCCCTCCTCAGTTCTGGAAGCCGGTGAGGGAGGCTTGCCATGTGAGTGAGACTCGGGCAAGTTTACTCAGCCCCCCACCCCTTCCATCCGAATTCCTGCGGTTGCATCCACACGGTAGAAATAATCCGGCTCGACACCATTTTAACTCCCGTGGCTCAATGCTAGGGAATTCTAGGAACGGTAGTTCAAAAGCTTGCAACGTGTAATTTGTGCCTTTTGTTTAGCCCAATAAAGTTGGGTTGGTGGATTGGGGATAGTCTTGTACTTTGGTGTTGTTTTGTTGTATCCCTTTAATTTTTCCGATTTATGGCAAACTTAAGGCCATAAATCACGGGGTTTTCTTGGTAAGATTTGTTCAGAGGAGGTTTGCCATTGCCTTCCCTGAGGCTGAGAGAGTGTGACCCAATGGGTTTCCTAGCCGAGAGGGGATTGGAACCCAGGTCTCCCGGAGTCCTAGTCCAACCCTCAGACCTCTGTGTTGGCTCTGGATAAAAGTAAGCGCATTCTTCCTTACATTTTTTCTCCTCTCTCTTTCACCCACTGAAATCTATTAGCATCTGAAGAAGATAAAACCATCAAAAGGGGACTTTGGTCCCTGAAACGTTTTGCCCTAATCTGTTTCTTTTCATCTCAAAAGGTGCTACACCTCTCTTGCTCCTTGTTGATCTCTCTGATATGTTGAGATCTCTGAGCATCTTTTCCTATCCTCCAGTATATGGCCCCGAGTAAGGCTTGCAGAAATATCTCAAATGGATTTTTATTCCAGACAAACACGAAGAGTGACACACAAACAATTTGGGCAATAATCCATGGAGGAGTTTCCCTCTTTCCAGAATCCACTGGAGCGAAAGGGAACTCCCCAGCAGTTCCTAACGCTTGCCAAGCTCTCCTTCGCTTTCAATGGGATCTGAGCAGGGGATCTTCCCATGGAGTTGTGGATGTGGAGATATTTTTGTTGTTTTTATGTGCCATTTTGGACAAAATGCAAGCGAGACCTTTGCATGTTGGGGAAACTGCCTTCCTGGGCTGACATCTTCTCGAAACGACACTGTACTAAGCAGCAACCAAGAGTGAGAAACCTGCTTCCAGGTTTCCTCCAGTGAAACAAATCTCAGCGCTGCTGAAATGATCCAGTTTGACACCACTTTAACTGCCGTTGCTCCATACTATGGGATCCTGGGGTTTGTATTTTGTTGTGGCACCAGAGGCAAAATGAGGGAGAAGGCGCCATGTCTCCCAGAACTACAAGTCCATCGCATTGAGCCATGGCCCCTAATATGGTGTCAAACTGGATGATTTCTGGAGTGCGGATATAGCCTTACTTGCTCTGGAGATGTTATTATTCGGACTCAGCCCACCTCCACCTCCCCATCGACAAAGCCCAGAGCAACTTACATGCTGGGTCCCCCTCCATCCCACCCCCACAATTGTGGGGCATTTTCTGTGTATAAACACTCCTTTTGACATCAGCGGAGGCTTCTTTGCGCCTCAGGAGCAGCAACACCGGTCTACCTTCAGCCCCATCCGAGCCCCATTGACTTCTAGGGTTCAGTCATTTCTGAATTTCGGTTCTTGTCTGCCTTCAAGTTTTTTTTTCCGACTTATGGAGGGGTTTTCTTGGCAAGGTTTCTTCAGAGGGGGGCTTCCATTGCCATCCTCTGAGGCTGAGAGAGTGTGACTTGCCCAGGATTACCCAGTGGGTTTGTACATGGCTTGAGATGGGATTCGAACCCTGTTCTCCAGTCCAGAGTCATAGTCCAAGTCTCAAACCACTACACCAGGTTGGCTCTCACTAATTTCTAGGATTCAGTCATCTCTGGCAGTGCAAATAGCATTTCCAGGGCGCCTACACCTATGCAAGTTTATTTGGGGCACATACTCTCCGGGTCAATGGACCTTACTTTCTGATTTATGGATTTAGAGGTGAAACCTTTACTTCCAAATAAGCATGCATCTTAAAATAATTAGTAATTCTTAGTTACCCCGGGATAGACATAGCCCTGTGAACCGTTCACTCCATGAAGAAATAGACCAAGTCTAGGGAAGTTTATGCTACCACTTCTTTGGCTCAACTAGTCTCAAGGGTGCTACAAGATTTTCATCCTAGTTAACCATTTATTCTGAGATTTATTTTCTGCCCTGAACAGCAGAGAATGCTTAATTTTCACCCGGCCCCGGCCTTCCCATGCAATTAAAATTTGACAAATTTCCCCCTTTCCTTCCTTATTTTCTTCCTTTGAGGCAACTGAGGATTACTGACTTTCCTTTGAGAACTGGCGGCGAAAGGAAAGGTCCTTGAGAAGATGAATGCGGTTCCCCTTGTCGGTCCATTTAAGAGTTAGCTGGGCTCAATAAACCCAGAGACATACATAGCCTTCTTAGCCTGGAAAACCAGTATGCAAAGGGATCTTGGGAGCACTTCTGAAACTTATAAGGGAAAGAAAGACGTTTCTTTAAGTTAAGTCTCAAAAGTGCCACAAGATCCTTTTGCACACCGGTCCCAATGAAAGCACTGTAATTCACGAAAGGCTAAAATATATCTTGCCCCAGAGTTTATTTATTTAAGGGGGCGAATGCAGTAACGCGGGTGGAAAAGGAGACGGGAATATTTCGTATATTATGCCAAAATCTTGTGGGCTCGCAAAGTAATCCTCCATGTGCCCCAGAGGATTTAATGGGAGGCGCTCCCAAGAAAGTTAAGTACAGGGTTTCAGTCTTGCAGCGCAATCTCAGCTGCGTTTTTTTACTTGGAAGTAAAGTCTGGTTGTGTTCAGTCGGGCTTACTTTCCTTAAGGACTACAAACACAGCCTAGAAATGCAAATTGAGTCCACTTTTAGGGTTAGGGTTAGTGCTAGGGA